CCCTTTCTCTTCCCCGCCCTCGGTGTTGAGGGGGTTGGTTTTTTTTTCCCTGGATGGAGAGGATGCTTCCTGCCACAGCCTCCTAACAGTTCCTGATCCACTGGGCAGTTCCCAGCCCGGGATGTAGATCAGCAGTGTTATGATTATTTTTTTAAAGGACCACACAAGAAGGTTTTGTCAAATGGGAAGAACACAGACGTTTGAGTATCAATAAAGTTATTTGAAAGAGTTGGTTTCTGCAGCAGAGCATGGGCAGGGCGGGGGGCCTGGCACAGAGCAGCTCCCAGGGGCTCTTGCCAGGAGCCTGGGGAGGGAGTTTCTTCCCAGGTGCTCCCAGCAAGTTGGGAGAGACCATCTGAAAGGAGGAGGTGGGAAATCTCCAGGAAGGGATGTTTGCCAGCACCCCAGAAGTTGTGTCCCCATCCCAAGCAGTAAAGAGGGCTTGTTGCGCTGTAGCTGCCTGAAAGTTTTATTGAATAAAAGCTCTGGATACAGAGGAATTCTTCAGCCTGGGAACTGCTCCCTGCTCTGCAGCCCTGCTGGGAGCAGGATGTGTGCTGAGGAGAAGTTGCAGATGGAGCCTCACAGTGCCCAGCTACCCTGAGGGCAGGCAGGCTGGAAGGAAGGTTGTGCCAGTAAGGAGGTTCCTTCCTGCCTTCCTGAGGGCTTGTCCCCCCGACCTGCACTTCCCCCTGTGTTCTCCCTGTTCTCGGAAGGACAAAATGGGCCTTTGCTGGCTGGGGGTTTGCAGCCTGGCTCGGCGTTTGTTCTGTAAACTGACCCCACCCCTGCCAGGCTAAGGTTGTGCTGCCCCAGCCCACAGGAGGGGTTTGTGCGTGGCAGTGGATGCCCAGACTCATGGCCTCAGGCAGGGCTGTGCCACAGAGACACGTGTTGCTGTACCATTGCCTTGGGTGCCACCACCCTGCCCCAGTCCTGGGGCTGAAGCCATAACCGTGTCATGTGCTCTCCTGGCCAAGCTGCCCGTGTGGCAGGAGAGGCAGCACGGTGCCTGCTGTGACCTCCTGGGAGAGAGGGGGCTCCCTGCCCTCCTCACCAGGATGGCTCCTGTCCTGCCTGCCTGTTCCAGGAGAGAAGGGAAAAGGAGCAGAAATTCTGAGTGAACCCTCTTGTTTCCCAGCACTGAGCACCGAGCTGCTGGGGGCACCAGCAGCTTTACCTGTGCTGGGAAACCCCCACCAAGGCAGGTGTGAGGCATCACACACATCACAGCTGCTCCCCAGGGACAAGACACTACAGACAATCCAGGAGTAATGAGAGATGAACAGATAGAAACCAAGTTCCAAGGAGACCCTGTGCAAGCAGGGGGGCTGCGAGGGGGAGCCCTGGCCCAGCCAGCTCGCTCAGGGGAAGTTCAGGTGTGCGCCAGGCCCTCAGTGCTGGCTCCGCTTGCGGTACAGGTAGGCATTGCTCACCTGGTTCATGATAACCAGGCTGGTGACAAGGGGGCACAGCATGGCGAGGTACCAGGAGGCACCGGTCACAGTGGTGGTGAACCACAGGGAGCACATGCCCAGCATCAGGCTGGCACAGCCTAGCAGGTAGCCCACCAGCCCCGAGGTCGCGTGGTACAGCTTGAGCTTGGCCAGCGTCCAGTTCTTCATCAGCTTGGGGTAGAGCAGGAGCA